TGGGAGCGTATGTGGAATGTAATTGTAGCGTGCCAGCCGAGTTCCATCTCCTACGGGACTTCAGTGCCTTCGCACGCACGCGCAAAATGCTTTGCACACCTACACTATAACATACTATTAGTATAAATTCTCAACAATTTACATACATCAAAGCACCGCCACCAGCGGGTGACCTACAGCTTGATTGCTGAAGTCCTTGAATGGCAGTAGCACAATGCGAAAATTGATGGAGTACTAACCGCAGTGACCCGTTCAACAATAAATAATACGCAAAGCACCGGTACTAATTTCCCGTTCCATGCTGAACGCGCTGGCTTGTAAATGTTCGGCTGTTCGGCACAATTTAAATGATTCAAGCGCTTTGTAAGGATTATGCACTGTTAGAATGAGATACGCTGCTTAAAATGCAATGTATGCTGTTAGTTTACTAGTTAGTAGTTTTATAGAGTGCTAACTATACTGCATACTCGTATCGTCCCCAACTTTTCGCTAATTGTGTTTTTAGTAGAAAACCATTTTTTATTATATTTTGCCAATTGAAATAATAAAAATGTTTAGTAGTAATCTGACTTTATTTTAGAACTATCTCATAAAATATATTGCATATGTATAACGGGAGTATAGTTCAGTTCTACCTGGGAGTAAAATTAGGTAACGAATGATATTACGATGAAAATAAAAACTTACATTTAGTATTTCTTTACATTTCGCTATCATCTACACTTTAAAAGAGTAAATGAAATACTTATACACTTTGAAATGCGTGGGTAAATTAAATTAGAGCTTTAGTGTGCGAAATTGAGTACGCTACATTCGAGGTAACTTAGTAAATAAACAAATACTGAAGACATTTGGGAGTGGTGTTTGTATGAGGTGCGAGCGAATTTTCGGGTCACCGCTCGCGTCTCTACTGAAACGTTTTTGTCAAAAGGAGAATTTACTTTGATTTGGCTTCTTGAATGGTTAACAAATTCTTGTGTATTACACCAAGTTTGAATACTCGTCAATACATTTTGTGTGAAATACTTCTTTTGTTATTATATTAATAGAATTTCGCATGGCACGAAGTTATCTTCGTCGTTTATTCCCATTTAGAAACGGAAAAAACGAACGAAAAATATTTTATTTTGTGTGCGTAAATGGCATTGCTTTACAAAAATGAATAGGTTGTCAAAGAATATATTATTATGTCATGCCCCTATAAACGGCAATCGCTCATAATGATGTGGTGGATCGTGTATATACGCTATGAAAAACGGTATCAGTACAATAATTCACTGGTTTTCCTGAGTAGCTAGAGTGTAAGTTGTTTAGTTTGGGTGGCCATAAATTGTTCGGCACGTGAGGAGTGAAGGCATGTCGATATAGAGCCGAGCACCGAGCGCCGAGGCCGGGCCGTGTGGATCGGATCTCCGAATCTCTGTAGGAATGTCTGCTGATATAATCCTCACGTATTAGAGGCCGGCTCCTGAGCTGCTGTCACCGGAGAGATATATCACACCCTCTAATTGCGAATATTACATATACACCTATCTCTGTAGCTAATGAATGCCAACTGCGAGCGGCTAATTTCGTTGATATAAATATCTTAGCTTGTGTTCACACCGAGGACACAAAGACGCCGAGCGTCGACGTTACTACTCTACCTAATTAGACTTTTGACAAATTAAATTCTGTGTTTTGACACTTCAAATTTTCTTATTTGTCCCTTGGGAGATACTGTCCCCAGCAAAAGTGAGCAAATTAAAGACCTTTGAGCGGAGTGTACAAACAAATTATACTTTCGCGATGTCAACGCTTTGTTTAATTTACATAAGTTTGTTCAGATTTGCACACGATAAACTTTTGAAATTACACAGCATTGCACAACAGCTGCTTTTTAATAGTTTACACAAGTTTAAATTACTTGGTAACAACACACCATTTGAGCTGGAACGACTGGTACGGGTATGTACTTAAAAGTATTAGTTTCAACAGAAAAAGATAAAGCTTGTGGAAAAATGTACACAAAGGGCCCTAAATAGCTCAATAGCTCAGGAGAGACGTAGAGCGGTGCGGCGGCGGAGCGAACAGGCTTTCAATATGATTATTTTTCCATGTCTATACAATTTATATTTCATTTATAATAAAATGTGTCCCAACAGTCTAATTGTGTTCTTGTGTAGCACCCCCAATAGGTATAGATAATGTCAAAAGCATGTTCCCGTGTCGTTACCCAATGGCACTTTTGTGGTTTTAATTAAGTAAATGATACAAGTTATAGAAAATTACCTTTTCATGTTATTTTGACAGTTTCTTGTCTTTGAAAGCACTCAGCTGAGTATCTACTTACTGAGAAAATATTTCAGAGTAAAGATGTTGGTTTTAGAACTTTTATTTGAACGCTTAATATTCAGAAGAGGCCATCTGGGACTCATGTAGGATTTAATGTATTTATAGTCGTTGTATTAATTCAGAACTGTTGTGATTTTAGTGCTCAGAATGTCTTGCGAACATTTGTGGCGGTCTGTGAGAGAGATTCATGTTCAGCGGTGGAATTTGCCATTTCGAACGTATCTCGCACATGCCTGACCGCAAATCGTCTTTCTATATCTCCAATTCAATGTCATAAATGATAAATTTATTTGTATAAATGGATTTGAATACATTTATACTTAATTTCAGTGTAAAGCTAACAGTGGAATCAATATGAACAAAAAGTCGTTCACCCGTTTCGGATTGGTCATCAATATTCATCAACGTTTACAATATTGATAAGTTTTATTTGATTTTTCCCGTCGAATAACGACTGTGTTATTTTGTATTTTTTAAGTTACTGGATTTATTTACTAATAACTGAATTAATTTTGTTTTTCAATACAATAGTTTAACATACATACAACAGCATAACAATAAATTATATGTATGTATTGAAATTAGTGTGACTTTGAAAGATTGAGAATTAGATATCTGGCTATCTATTACTATTGATTGTGGTGTAAAACCAACTTAATGTAGCGGTTAATAATTACATTGAATATTTTTTGGACATTATACTATATAATAATTTTCTATGTGTCGAGAACTTACTAAATTCCTCTGCGGTATTTATGATATACTTGTCAATCAATATAATGGCTATGATTTCTTAGCCTACGCCAACAAAATACTGTTGACAGTTGACTATTTCTCAAAGATATTCTTTAGTGACGTTTAAAAATATACTTACTTAATTTGTGCAGTATACAATTCAAGTACCTAGTTGGAGTGAGATTGTTACAACTGTGTACTTACACATAGTACAGCTGACACCCACAGCTATATTCTCTAATGCCCTAGCAACATAGTAGCATCAATATGTCTAGTTAGCCTGAAACACGTGTAGACTGTGTCTACCAGCGTCCTGCGAAGTGCGACAGTGGACGAGCAGCACCAAGTTAATTGCAAACATCGCAACAATGATTTACTGCTTCTATCTTCACGTTGTACTGGATCTGAGCTCTCTCGCTCCACTATTCACTATTATCTACGTAAGAGTCGAGTGGGCAGATTTATGTTCGCAGCGAGACGCCTTTCTACAGAATAATATGTGTCTTTAGATACGAATTTATTCTTTGTAACTTTTCACAGAGGTTTTCTATTGAATTATGCTGTACTGCGCAGTGTTGGGCACTTGTAATTGACACTAGAATATATTATTACGGATAGCTCTACTCCACGCGACGAAATGTTGGCTATAAACGTCTGAATTGTAGTTTTATTGTAGTTGGCTATCTTGATTAATCTTCTCAAAAGCGAACAGTTTATTACTCTTACACTTAGATATTACAAAATAAATGAGATCCACCTATCCCCATATTAGAAATCTTATCTACAACAGTCATTCGAAAACCTAATCAACTGACCATGTTAAACAAATCTGCTTATCTTGAACCCACAAATAAATATCCGTAGCAATCCAGACCAATTAAATTAATTCCAGCGCATTAGCAACAACCGAAATAGCCCGCGAATCGATACTGAATCAAAGCCAGTTCGGAAATTAAATGTATTCATTGGCAACGTTTTGATTTATTCCCGTCGCGTCGCTAATCCTTACCCACATTATTTACATACCAGAACTACCATTTGATTATTCATATTGCACAACTTTCAACAATTTCGTTCATAATTCAAAATTGTTTGTTTTTCATTTTGAACGGAGTAGGTACTTACAGCTATCAAATAATTCTGATTCAATTTCTACAACAGTCAACTCGTATAAAGTAAGCAATTTGCTTTGAGTTTAGTATGAGGATTAACAAAATGCTTCGGTTACCTACTGGTGGAATCACAATGAATATTAATAATGTAAGTGGGTTAGGTGGCCACAGCTGAAATCACAAAGCTACGCTTTTGATAAACGAAACATTGCGGTATTATTAAAATATACATACCTAGTGAGCGTTCCGCTGGATTCTTATGATTACTGCCGTTTCGGAAACACAGGGAGCTGGCGCCGGCGGAGTGTGCAATAAAATAACCTTATTATGTAAAAATATTTACTTTTGTACATATTTACACGAGTATAAAGTAAATTTACAAAAGAATAACAACTTGTGGCCGCAGTAGGGTAGATACGTTTAACGTATGTAGCTTACGTATATATATGTATACTTCGAAATTTTAATTTTAATGATTATATAAAGAAACGTGAGAGAAATACTACATTACACACTTACTTGTATGAAAATGGTCATATTCAGTGAGCAATCTATTGTGTCAAATACAATATCGATTACAATATCTATAAAACCTAATTGACCTTAAGATACGTACCTACCTTACACATCAAAATGTTATGAAATAGGCATAAAAGTTACTTTCTCCTATCTATGTTATGTATACACGTTCACATACCTACAAAAATCATAATGTACCGTGTATAAATGTACCTAGTCAGTTTGCAAACATTAGATTCGGTGGAGATGAAACATATTTACATTTATTTACTAGTGATAGTTTTAGAGTAGAATTAGTCATCATCTGAGTAGGATGGTCCAGAGAGCGAGGGCGAGGGTATAGACGATGTCAGTGTAGTGCGGCTGGGCGTCGCTGGAGAGGGCGCTGGCGTGGCACTCGGCCTCGTCGGCGCGCAGCTGCAGCAGCGGCACGCGGCGGCCGAGCGCGTCCTTGCAGGTGCCGCTGCGCACGGCGCGCCGCAGCTCCGCGCCCGCGTCGTTCTCCTGCAGCCAGCGCCGCAGCCACGCGCCCACCCACGCCAGCTCGCACTCGCACCGCAGCGGGTTCCCCGTCAGTATCAGCCCTCCTACCGAATAATTCAACCGCTATATTAATACATCCCACCTGACGATTTAACTCGCCTAGAAAAGTTTCGAGTGGTGTATTAAGAATTAAAACTCATTAAGAAGAGTTGCTCGCCTCATTCTGTGTGGTGAGAGGCTCGGTAAATTTTAATAAAATACTAGCATTTGCTTGGGGTTCACTCGCGCCACTCTACATTTTTAATGAACTACCTAACTCGTTTTAGAGATATTATAGCGTTAATTATAAGCTTATTAAATATTCAAATTGTTTACAAAAGAGATTTGGAGGTTTAACTATAGGTAGATACTGTAGTTTGTTATTTTATTAGTTTAAAAAGCAAGATTGGCTCAATTTGGCGTTGTGTTTTTCGTAGGTGAGACCAACGTCAAACTAAGTTTATCATTTAAAATTTACGCGGTCTGAAATATTCAGGCTTTAAACTTTGTTAGCCTGATCCGCTGATAGATGGGGTAAAAAAATAATTTCCCCAAAATGAAAACTTTATCTTGTTTATACGCTTCAGCCGCTCGACTGAGCTAACTATTGCGTAGGGTTGGATATTGGGGGATCATAAAATATTCAACAAAATGAATATGACGTACCTGACAGTAACTTGGTCGCTACGTGGCTCCAGCTCGTGAAATTCGGATAGAAAATCGCTGGATTTAGGGTCGTAAGTTGATTGTAGCTCAAGTCGATTCCGAGCTGCGGAACTTGCCCCAAATGTCTCATAAATGCTGTCGGCAATTTCGTTAAGGAAGTCATTGTGATCCGGATAAATATCTCTTGACTGTTGGCGAAAGGTTGAAAGGCGTCGTCAGTTATTCGTTTCAGGTTTGATCCTCTAATTTCAAAGTATCGAATGTTCCTCGCATCGATTCCGTATAATTGATTATCCATGATGTCGTCGGTCCAGTGTATAACTAATTTGTATAGTGAGGGTAGGGAAGAGGTGATGTTGGCAATTCGGAAAGTAGAGTGATTTATAGTCGACCACGATTGAATATGCAGGGACCGGAGTGATATCAAGGGACGGAAGGATTCTTGGTCAACTATGTCTAAGTATTTAAGTCCATTTAAATTCAAATGAGATAAATTGCTCAGCCATTTGAAACTATTTGGCGTGATTCTTACGATAGGGTTGTACGACAGATCGAGGACATTTAAATTACTTAAATGAAACCACATCTTTGGCACTAAAGAGGTAAAACGATTGTTACTAAGATCTAAGTGACGAAGACTCGCTAGACGCTTAACATCAGTCTCCTTAAAACTGTTAATGTAATTTGAAGTCAAATTGAGGCTAGTTAAGTTTGTCAAAGGTAGATAAGGCACTGACTTTAAGCTTACATTTCCAAGATTCAAATGCCTCAAGTTGGGAAGGTTATGAAACAGCTCCTTGAAGTTGGCCTTTATAGAATTAAAGCTCAGGTCCAGAGTACGAAGTCCACCGAGGCTCGAAAATGTGTTATCAGATAGTACGGTTAATAGATTGTGACCCAAATTGAGACTCAAGAGGAACTGTGTGCTGCGGAATATATTACTGTCTAAGTACTCGATGCGATTGTGCGACATGTCGAGGTAGCGCAACGTGAAGCCGATCTGCGAGAGCGCCGTGCCCGGGAACAGTGACATGTCATTGAAGCTCAGGTCTAGATGCTCGATGATGGTGTTCTTAAACACGTCTCTCGGCAGCAACCTTAAATTATTGTGGTCCAATTTCAAATACCTAAGTTTGTTTAAATTATAAAACTGTTCAACTGATAATTGTGAAATAACATTGAATGACAGATCCAATATTTGTAGAGATATCAAATCAGTAAAGGACTTCCTTTTGATATTATTGATGTTATTTTTATGCAAATCCAATATTTCTAGGTATTTTGCATCACCAAAAGCTTCATTTGATACCTGAATAATTTTATTATGTGCTAAAATGATTTGCCGTATTGATGAGGCGACAGCAACAAAAAAATTGTTTGGCACATCGTAGAGGTCGTTGTACGAACCGTCAAATATGTTAACCGATATTGTGGCTTCGCCATCTACAAACTTGATGTGGTTTTTGCTAACGTTCAACGTTAACGTTACGTCTATATTAGATATGTTATGAAACGCGTTTAGTGATAAATACGTAAAGTTGTTACCCTGGAGCTCCAATATTTGCAGTTTTGGTAAATTAGCAAACGTCTCGGCTTCCATCGAATCGATTATGTTACCCGCAAGAGATAAATATCTCAAGTTTGGTAAGTTTGTGAAAGTGTGCTTAGTTAAGTTGTTGATTCTGTTATAAGATAAATCCAAGTTCCTTAACTCTGGCATGTATATGAAACTTCTGCTGTGCAGTGAATGCAAAAAATTATACGCGAGTCTCAAGTTGGTCAGATACAACGATTCGTTGCGATAGTCGTCTCCGATGACGATGTCTACTATTCTATTATAATCCAAGTTTAAGTACTTTAAAAAGGGAAACAACACGACATCCGACAGCTTGAGTATGTGAAAATCGTTGTTATCGAACGATAACCAACTGATATTCTCCAAACCTTCTTCCATTTCGAATGGAAAATACCCACTGAAAAGTGTAGAAGACGATTCGAGAATGCGGAGCGACCTAGTCACGTTCGCAAAAGATTGTGGATGCACGTAGTATAAATCGTTAAAACTTAGATGTATCTCTTTCAATGACATGCTAGCGGGAAAAACGTTCTTATAAATCTGCGCAATCCTGTTACCTCTCAAGTTGATATTCGCCAGAGAAGAGGACCATTCCTGGAATTCGTTCGGTAACAAATTAGATATCCTGTTGTAGCTTAAGTCGAGATAACGAATAGAACCGGCTTCGAGCGTTTGAAGTGCGGAGGGTATTGAAGTTAAAAAGTTGCCGGCTAGCGAGAGGGTCTGAATGCGGCTGGGGAGGGCAGGCGACTCCTCCAGCTGGTTGTAAGCTAATGATAAATGACGGAGTCGCACGAGCTGCGCCAAGCTGTCCGGCAAGTGGAACAATCTGTTGTGCTCCACTTCCAGATGTTCGAGCGAGTTTTTCAAAGACAAAAATAGATCTCGGCTAATGGAACTCAACATATTGTACGACACGGACAATCTTTCTATCCTATTATTGGTAAAGACCAATTTAGGGATCGTCGTCAATTCATTAAGGTCTAATATAATTTGTCTAATTTGGACTTCCCGAAGGAGAAGTAATTGGGAACTATCGTTAATTTTGTTATTACTCAAATCTAATTTTTCTATTTTCTTAGTCTTATTAGTTGAACAAACGTAATTATCTGTGAAGGTAATAAAATTGTGCTGCAAATGTACAGATTGTAACCTAGGCAGACTATAAAGTAAATCACAGGAAAGTTCATGGATAAAGTTGTTGGATAGCTTGAGGAGCGTCAGGGAAGCAGGCAAGGAGTCGGCGCTGATGGTGCGTAGGTGGTTTCCTTCCAAGTCGAGCTGCAGCAGGTGGTACAGCGAGGTCAGGGCTTGCGACTTGAGCTGCGTTACTTGGTTGTTACTCAATGACAGGCTAGTCAATGTTTCTTCCAAATGGTGCCACTTAATTTCAGGTCCTATGTACACTATATTGTTGCTAAAATAAAAGCGAAAATATATTAATAAAATTAATCAACTCTCCGGGTAAAAGTTTAATAGAATTTAGTTTGAGAAGTTGTGCTTACTTCTGCAGATTCAACCAGTTTAAAACTTTTAAATCTTTTAAGCCCTGCTGCGGTATTTCAGTGAATTCGTTGTAACCGAGGTCTAAAGATGCTAGTGTACCCGCCATGGAACTGAAAACGAATGAGTTTTATTAAACGTTCCACTTGACTTTTAATTAAAGTTCTTCAAATAGTTGTTATAAAGTTTTATTAAAATGTAATTTACCTAAATGCGTGCATCTCGATGTAGTGTAATTTGTTAGCGACTAAAACTAATGTTTGCAATCTCAATCCGTCCAGCGCGCTCTCTGTCAGCACTTCTAGGTTAGACATGCTTATATCTAGATGTTGCAGCTCTATTCGGGGCCATTCTGTAAGAGAAGTTTAAATGGGTACATAGTTTTGAGCCGGACTTAAGGACTTACGAAGGCGTACTATTTCAATTAAGGCACCCACTTGGAACTTATAAGCTCCCTTACGTTAAACGTTTGCTATGAAATAAAACTTGGGAATGTTATTGGCTGCCTTAATTGTCTTGCCAACTATAAAAATTTATTGGACGTGAAGCGAAACAAACAGAGACGATTTAATTTTAAAATATTTGTGAACACGTAATAACAGTTTATCAATTACTCCACAAAATGAACTTTATATTGTTTGAAAACTACATTAGCGAGTTTGTAAGCCACAATTTGTAAATATTTGTTTTAATGTTGCGGGTTCATAATGATATTATTGGTACTTGACAGGGTAGGTAGTCAGTATCAGAGAGCTGATGCTTTTTTGTTAATTTCCACGTGACTTGATAATATAAAATAATGTTCGGATGGTCAGTGTATTGCATAAAATTGTTATCCATGGTTCTGTAGAATAATTTAATAAATATTTTTGATTCGTGTTTTTAAAACGAATTTAAATATATTTTTAATGTAAAAGAACAAGATGCTACCTGGTGGTATTTTATTTTACAATAAAATATTAAATTGAACAACCTTCATTTTACGAAGAAGGGATTTAAGGGTAGGTATATAAAATGTATATAATTTTAAAGTGAATGAAGATGAAAATTATTTTGTTTTTAAAATAAGATTAAAGAAATTTCCGAATGTATTTTTTTATTACTGAGGCTGTGTATTCGTAATATTTTTATTTTATTATTTTTTCTTTTTACAGAATCGTTAGATTAGTAGGTATGTTTGTTCCTGCACTAATATTAGAGTGAGTAACATTCCTTCTTTCCGATAGAATCAACACACTAGGTTGAATGTCTTCTAAAACATGCCCAAATTGACAACTAAAGGTTAACTTTTTACTGGAAATTTTACACATAAGAGTTTGATCGTACCTGGGAACCTGTGTAATGGCACGGCGGTGCAGGACATGTGTGCTACTCGGCAGGAGCAGAGCGGGCTGCCGGCGCAGGGCTCCACCCGCTCGGGTGCCATGGCCCCCGCCAGCGTGCAAGCCACCAGCGCCACCCATTGTAGCGCCCATCGCGCACATCCATGCCCCAACACCATCACTGCAAAAAATCATTTTATAAATACAATTATATTAACTACAAGTTTGATGCAGTGGCGGTTTCGGCTTAGAGCAATTCTTTGTATGATTTACAGATTGTTGTTTTGATTGTTGATATTAATACACCTAACAATCTAAATTTCAGCGTTGAACCGCTGAAATTTAGATTGTTAAAACAAAAAAACTACGTCTTAATGGATATTATTTACACACATATGCATATAATCTCGTTGGCAGTAGGAACAAGTTGTAGGTACTTATGTTTTTTTTTAAATTAGTTTCATGTTCATATTGTTTGTGTGGATGTGAATAATAATCTGTTGGTTTATTTATTGATTCCTGTGCGCTATTAAGTGAATTATCCCATAGTTTTAGAAATGCGACAAAACCTCTTTTTGGATGAGAGAGAGATGGTAAGTCATCAGCACCGCCCATTTGCACCCTACTACCCAACACTACACCAGAAAAGTCACAATCAGTCAATTCCTTGGAGTGGATATCTCTCCCTCCGGTTTATTTTTAAGTAAAACACATACATATATATCTCTACATAGCATAGGTGAGTTGAATATCCATACTTAATTATACACAAACACTCGTACCCGGAATATTTGTCTTTGGGATCTATTGACATATATACTCGTACGTACCTAACGTATTGTTTATACGGAAATTGAAGGCACGACGTGTTAATACAAAGCGGCCCACTGCTCCGTTCTATATCATCTTAGATTTTCAAACTGTCACAATTACCATTTAAAATACATTTATCAGTATTTCATATTGCAGTTATAGGCGCAACAAGAATACAATTTAAAGTCCGTTGTTCCCAGAGTCTAAGAAAAGCTAATAGCGTTCCAAATAATACTTGGAACAATTATTGTGATTTTATTACTTAGGACAAGAAACATTTTATGATAATATGCAGTGTTTTAGTGGTTGAGAAAGTTTTTTCCTATCGCTGTATACGTCATCCAAGATCAGTGAAATTTTAAAAGGAGGTCCTAACGGTCTTCTTTCATTTGAACAATTTTGTTAAAGTGGCATCATTCAGGGCTGAGGATCAGGAAGATTCTAGAACAAATGTTCGCTGACTGAGTAAAAACCTCGTTCCTTCTCTTGGTTCAGCCTAGGGCTGCGGTAATTAAGGTTTACTTTGTCGCTGATAATTTGTTGATAGGCAAATAGGATAGGATAGTGGGATGTACCAAGTGAGATACAATTTTTCGTATTTTCGTTATTGCCCGAACGCAATGTAATAGAGTTTTAAGCAATTATAAAAAGAATATTTTTTCCAAAAAATCATCACCATCTGAACGTTAACTCTTGGTAATTAATAGACCAGCGTTTCCAATACGGCCAAACTCAATCTGTGCGCAGATATCGATAAAAACGAGTTTATTTTGTACGAAAATATATTTTATGTTGAAATTTTTATTTTTATGGAATGTTTATTTTCGACTATATCATTCATTAACAATTTTTTGTGACTCGATGTAGTTTTAAAAGTAAAAAATAAAATGTATCATTTTTATTTTTATAACTATCTTCATGATTGCAAAAATATTTGATCAGTCTTTTAATTTCGAATTCCTCTTGGATCAATATACTCAATACATATGTACATTAATTTAATAAGCAACACCTAATTGCTATATTGATTTTCGGTTTGTAGTGTAATTAGATTACATGGATTAAGAGCCCGAGGCTAAGTCACTTGTGTCGACCTAACAGTCTTAATATTTGCCGCGTTTTGTTATTAAAGAATACCGAGTAATTCGTGTTACCCCATACGTACTTATGAGAAGCCATTTTTGTTTTCAGTTATAATGTGTCAAAAACAACCGCGCAAGACATTTCAAATTGAAGATTGTAGTATGAAAACGTTGTTTTTTTTACATCCATTTAGAAAAAATTTAAGAGTGACATATTATTATATGTAATAGGTTTGTCATTAAAATCGTCAAATTGTAGAACAGTTTGTTGGCAATGTATGAAGTAGCGCTACACTCTTGCGGGTTTTTTAAATTTGTTTTCAAGAAATAAGCACAAGGTATTTAAAGAATTTGAAGTCGATCGTCCTTTTTGAACAAAGAACATCGTGCGGCCTCTCCCAAACCTCTCATAGATGCTTCATCCTCTAGTAAAGTGGTGAGGATGGCAGATATAAGTGGTTCCACATAAAACATTGATATCTAACTGAATCTTCTTGAAAAGACTTAAATTTTCCGACATTTAGTAGGACCAGTGGTTTGTCCAAAGAATATAAATTGGTATAAAATAGAACGAGCAAGAAACGCCTTTGTTAATGTGATGTTACAATCAATTTTGTTAAAAAATATTTTTAGTTTCATTTATATATTAAAATCGCAAAATGATTGAACTGATATTTAATAAACTATGTCAAAGCTTATGACTTTTTATTCACTCGTTTGATTTGTACTGAAATGTTATTTTTGCATGTCTTTTTGTATCCTTAATAAACTAACATTTTGCATACATATGTATTACACCCAGATCCTGATCATCAATTTATGGATCACATAAAGAGTTGTTACGTGCAGAAATCGAAACTACGACACATTATACAGCAGTCGGCTGGGCCAGCCACCGCGTCAGCTGTTTACTCAAATATCATTCAGTTAGTTTCTGATTGTAATATATTTTGATAAATTTAATTGCTATTATTGTTCGTGCGCCTGATGGTCTTATCATAACCTTGTAGTAACTTGCGCTTGTCACTGAAGCTAAAAACTGTTTTTCAACTGCAATTACTTCTTCACATTCTACACTTAACTCGTGCAGCTAACACCGACCTTAAAGTTATATTCTTTATCGAGTTCTTTCCTGGAGTTATTTTACCAGCAACGCTGTAGTTGTCTCCCACAGAACCAATAGACACTACAGACGGGACCCAACATGGCCAATGCTTAGTCAGGGTTGTGGATCAAGCGCAATAAGGCGCTACAGCCTCGGCCTGGAGCAGGAGAAAGAACAGTGCGATTTTTAGTCAGTTAGAGTATGACACTCCCTCTCGCCATACGACATGAAATAATTCGATGATTTTCACTAAACAAAAAAATCTGCTAACTCCACATATGACCTTTAACGAGCCTGATGGCCTTAAAAAAAAATCAGTCATTTGTTCTTTATAATGAAAATAACAACTAACCATTTATAGCTAAACACTTACACAGAAATAGCAAATAGCTAAAGTGGTTTAGAGGTTATCGGCTTATTGCAATAAAGCGCTTGTTGCTATCGCTATTTATTGGTCGAGTTTATAACTGACCAGTTAACGTTTATCCACTCTTAACAGATTAAAACGTTTATTGGTAGTAGTATTAAAGATTAATAAGTTGTTAGCTACTTTAATATACCGGTTGTTGCTTTATGTACTTACTGATAGCTTAAATAGAACGGCCAAGAATATGAAACTATATTTTTTTATGTGAGTGTGTGATGGTAAGCAATGCGAAACTCCATAGGAGTGCGTTGACGACGTTTTGGGAATTAGGATGTTGGATATTTGGAGATAGGGATAAGGGGGGCGCAAGGATTGGGCCTCCGGTAACGTCACTGACACAGCGAAACACAACGCTACGGTTGTTTCCTTAAGTTATGCAAGAAGATAAAGAGTTAAACTACTAGTGACAGCTAATACTAATCAGTATACATATATGAAATTAAACATCATTTATCACGATTAATCGCCTTATATGGAATTCTTTCAGGAACCAAATCTCTGAGTGTGGCAGTTAGTCTTTTAGAATTTTTTTACAGATACGATTTTTTTTTTCATTTCACACCAGCTTACTACTGTTTATTTCTCTCAGAGTTCAGTGTCAGATACACGAGCTCTTTGACACATAGCCCAAAATGTTCCTTTGTTTTAATTTCGATATTATAAGTAAACCTAAAAGGATAGAGCGTATCTCTAAAAACTAGTTAGCAAAAACAGAATCGTTATCAAGTACTGTTGTTTTATGTGTCTTTATAGGCGAATATAAAGGCAGTCTAGCACCAAAGTCTTTTGGAGGCCCTATTATTTTTACGAACTCTGTAATCTTATACGTACTCTGTCCTTACAACACAACTGACTCGTAATTTGCACGACAAGATAAGAAATCTAGATACTTTCTTTTTGTCTTCATTCTGTGCTCGGATCGGCTTGTAAATCTTTTGTACGCGAAATAGAAATGTTTTTATAAAAGAATTGTTGCGCAAAACGCCTATAGTTTGGCGAGCCCACTCCGATTCAGTGTAAGTAGGTATTGTATTATTAAATTCAGCCTAGTCTAGTTGCGCCAAACTTTTCATTATCTCGCCAAAGTTGGATCTTGTAATCTTCTTCGTTGGAATTGAAATGTTTTGAGAATATCATGGGTTAATGAAAGAATGATTCGGAAAAATGTTTCCTGTGTTTATTGAAAAACAGTTCATAATTGATAAAATAGTACGTGCAATTTGTAAAATGTTTGTTAGGTGAGGTCAACCGTCTTATTTTATAAGTGGTCGGAAATGCTATTAGTGACATTGAGGTCACAATTTCTATACCCGGCCTACCAAATTATTAATATACGTTTAAATATGTGGATACTTGATAGCGGAGTTTAGTTGAAGCCGTGAAAAAAGAAAAAGCAGATTCTCAAACACACTTTCAGTAATATGAAAGGAAAAAGGATTTAATAGCAATGAAATTCATAACATAATTTAAAAAATATTTAATACATCGTCATATTATATCTGCTCAAGGATAAAAACGCCTAAAACGAGGATGTGTAAGTGTAACTGTATTTTTCTTGAATTTTCACAAGTCTAGTAATTCGAAATTCGAAATTCTTAGCAAAGGACGTTCTAAGATAAATGCTGAGTCGTATATCGTACTCCTCAGATGTTCGAGAAGCTTAACAAAAATTTCGTGAACAAAAATTCAATGTGGTTTTATCAATTTGCTTGCTTAGGTACATCATATCATTTGTAAATAATAGCAACTACTAC